TTGCATCCCTGGATTGCTGCCTTACCCATCCCTCCCTTCCCTGTTTCCCTCGTTCCATCCCTCCTTCATCAATGTTCCATCTCACTCACACCCTGACTTCCAACCCTGCCCAAATATCACCCCCATTTAAGGTGCCTCTAAAGAGTACTCAAATAACACTCCCATTCCCCCTCTTTCTCTCGCTTCGCCTGCAGGTTGATCAACTGGCTGCAGCATATGCAGAGTACAAGGGAGAGAAGCCCCCAGAGCGCACAGCATCCATGCCATCGGAGGAGGAGCAGTCCAAGGAGGACATTCTGAGAGACATTGTACGCAGCCAGTCCCACAGGAGCCTCAAGTCAAGAACTGCAGGGGATAAAAGCTTTGAAGATCTGGCAGGCGCCGTTGCAAGCGCGGCGACAGGCGTTGCCAAGATCACTGTAGAGGAGTCGACAGATGCTTGAAGTGAAGTGAACTATGAGAGTATTGGTCTGGCCGGGAGTAGTGGAAAGGCAACCCCGCTACGGTGTTTTCTTCCCTGTACTCTAGGGAATCTTTGTCTGGATAGGAAAATAGGGTGCTTGTGAATGCTGTGGAGTGATGTTTTTGTGTGTGTAGTTGAGTGGCAGGTGGTTGAATAAGATTCATTCCTGCCACTTCCTGCATGATAGTGCATGCAGAGTGGTTCGTACAAGAGCATGCACAGGACGGCTGTGTATTGTTTGATACCGTCGAGGGTTAGGTTCAGGGTCATATAATGCTGTGTGGAAGAGTTGATTCTTGACTGAAAACAGCTATTTCCAAACATTTACCCAATTATGGAACTATAAACAGAACCTGCAATAGTTGAAAGAGGGGAAAAAATGTCAATGGTAACTTGCATGGGCAATTATGACGCGTACGATAACGATGTCAACGCGTTTGGTAACCCGTTTAACGCGCTTGGTAACTCGCTTAACACGTTTGGTAATTCGCTTAATGCGTATGGTAACTATACACTACACCCTGTTTCTCGCTACACTGAACTGTGCCGAACTGGTGGAAAACCTTGTTATCTTCGATTTACCTAATTGGACCATACCGAAATGCAATTTAACCACCGTTAATCGTGCTTTTCCCATCTTGTCTTCATTGTAACCGAAATCATAATGGCAAGAAAGAGGGTGTAGCAGCCCATCACGCGAATGGTAACTAGAAGAAACGCCCAACTTCATTGATACTCAAATTATGCCAGAAGCGGTTTGCAAACGTAATTAACCAACAATTTTGCAGTGTAGTAACAGAGAATACTGTTTTATTTATTTATAAGCACAAACCTGAAACAATGTCGCCACCAGCTGCTCCGCACATATCCAACAAAAAAGGAAACATACCGTCATCGCCCGGACATAAGACATATATGTCTTATCTCATACATTAAAAAAAATGCTTGGGTTATCTTGTATTTGGGGAGGTTTTGGGTATGTGATAAGTCTTATAAATGGAAACCTTTTTAAACTACTTAGAAATATTTTCACGCATCTTGAAAAGAGTTTCTCATTAAGAGTGTCGATGTTGCGAAGTTGCTACTTCGGCAACCATTGTTCGGGACGCCACGTCATCCCGAATACTTGCAGAGTCAAATTTGGTAGTACGTGACTCAACACGTGGCAGAATTCGCGTGTCCCAAGGGTAAAAATGTACGCGGTATTTCAATTTTCACTATAATACATTGCAGTTTTGATTATAAGACACATATGTCTTATCTCGTACACACAAATAGGTGTCGTATAAAAAGGCTAGCTTGTTTATAAGAGACACCCGTATAATAGACAACCCCTGTCTACTATTCAACACTGTCTTATATCCGGGCGATGACGGTACTAAAACGCTTGGATAACCAGGACGGAATTTGGAAATGTTAACCCTAAATACGGGAACTCGTGAAGTGTTTATGACGACACCGCCCAATGGAGTCTGCTACATGCGGGCAATTAAAAATAACCTTCCTGTTAAAAGACATCAATTAAGAATGACATTAACCCTAAACACATTGTCGCATGATGTTTAGAATTCATGTCATCCGAGAGGTTTTTTATTTTATTTCGAACGAGGTCAGCATGTCCACAGTCGACGGAGGGTTAACGGTGCTGTCAACCCTAAGGTCATATCCCAGCCTAGTATCAAGAAGTTGGTGTCAAGACGTTTACGCACACGATTGGTCCAAAGAAGACGCTTGACCAATCGCATTGGCCGAGCGTCTTCTTTGGACCAATCGCGTGCGCAAACTTCTTGACACCAACTTCTTGACAACAGCCAAGGATACGACATAATCCGTTGAGTTATTCCCAGTCTGCATCATTTTTCCCAATGACGTTTTTTTTTTTTATATTTACGCAATTCTTGCTTGATACAAATTTTAATGGGTTGAGTATTCAATAAATTTTTCGTGTCTATTCTTAGGTAGAACCTCGACACAATAGTGTATATTTGAGTTCGGTAATTGCGTTCTGTTTCTGTCACATTTCGGGGTTGTTACTAGTGTAAAAAGTGTGATTGAAAAACGAGTACCGATCAGAGATGAGCAATCTAGGTTGAGTATCGATGGAAAACGTCTCTGGCATAATTTGAGTATCAATGAAGTTAGCTGCTAGAAGAAACCCTCGCCCAAAATGACCCTCATTCTGGTTTTTCCCGCTCGCGTCAGACGAAATTGACGAATCCTGAAGCAGAAACCTTTGACACTCTCAGAGATTCTGACACATCTTTCCGAAATTCAGACACACTTTCCGATTTTCAAGCGAATTGCAAGAGCGTGAGTGTTGTGAGAACAACTGGTCTTACATAACTGACATTCTGGCGCTCTTTCCGCAAACTGTTTATACTTCATTCTATCGTGCAGCCGGGGAAAAAAAATCTACACCCCTTTCAGATGGCAAATGAATTTGAGAGGCGACGGTAAACTCCTTGCGAGAAGGCGTTTATGGTTACAGAAAAATGAAACATGTAATTCTAAAGAGTTTATATTTTCCCACATGCAAAAATTCTCCAATGTTCCAGGAATTACAAAAAGTAAAAATCCCGATGTCCTTTCGGGGAATGTTTTTCTAGATAATTTTGCAAGCTCGCAATCATGCTATCTAAAATAAGATTTTAACAGCTCTGAAACTTTTCGGTCCGTGGTAGTATAATAAACGGGATCCTTCAAAGTCGCGGCGGGACTTGTTCAGAAGGGATAAAACTGTCCGTGTAAGGAAAATTCATTTTCCTTACTTCGCATCATTGCTCAACGCGTACATCACTGTAGCACCACAGTCAGCACCGTTACCACTCGCAACCCTCGCATCGACAATCCGCCCGCCACCTTCGCACATCGCATCTCGACCTGACGGCTCGGCGGGTAACCCGCGCTCCAGGCCTCCGCTTCGACACTTTTTCCAACCTCAGTCCCAGGCCCGTCGCGCGACAACCACAGTCCATTACCGTTACCACTGTAGTTTCGCTATATATTCTTCGCTCATGCCTTCGCTCATTGTACTCTTGCTTCGATAGTGCAATTCTCAATAGTTCACTCAATTGCACTCGTAACAGTGTGTAAAAACTTTCAAAATCGATAAATTTCTTTTTGTCAGGATCATTTCGGCGGGAGTTTCATGTAATTACCATTCGCGTGATGGGCTGCTAGTGTATAGTTACCATACGCGTTACGTGAGTTACCAAACGTGTTAAGCAAGTTACCAAACGCGTTAAGCAATTTACCGTACGCGTTATAGTGCCCCATGTAAGTTACCATTGACATATTTTCCCTTGAAAGGGTTTCGTGACATCGATAGTTCGACACTTGCTTTTCCCCTCCTCCAGCGAGTATTCCTGACGAGCTCGGAAAATAGACGGCGTCAATCTGACGATATCGTCCAACCTCTCGGATTTCACGGTTTGGCGTGTCTATCCACTTAGAGGGGCTAGTTTAGTTTTGCTTGAGAACGTATTCGACCACTTTGTTCTCCCAGAGAAAGGTTTTGAACCGTAACTAACCAGTAAGTATCCTGGAACCGCACAAGTCACTTCAAAACATGCTCGAGCCACCAACGATATACGGATTTGAAAATTGGGGAAATTCCTCCAACCCCATTCTTGCTGCCGCTGGTTGTTTTCCTGTCATGGCTTGCAGGCCAGCGCGGCATCGGAAATATCGATTAGATAGCGACATTGCTCTTCGAGAATAACGTCGTTGTTACTCGACGAATGGCGATAGTTCAGCCAGGTTTCAGTTTCGTGGACCATTGAGATTCCCAACAGTTTTGACAAGGACTCCTTATCCGGTTTTCTGATTTCACGGAGCTGATGTTGCATTCGAGGCAAGCTGGTCATGAGCTTATTCCGTCAGCCTTACGATCTGACGATTCCAATATCACGGACGAGTGTTCCTTCGCCATTTCCGATGCAGAATCGAAAGCCCAGCATCAACGTTTTCCAGGACGGCGGGTTCTCACTGGTCCCCTTAAAAATGGGTTGTCGCCATTATCCATTTTCACATATTACTGAAGGAGAAGTCTGTTACCTTCTAGACTGGGTTTACTTGTCTTTCGAATACTCCAACACATGCAGCCTTTTCCGGTCAGAATTTCTGCCGCAGCGAAGTTCATTTCTCGTCAAGGCCTTTCATTCTACGCTTTGGAGGAGATACTCGCGTAGTCGTTTCACGTCCTCGTATTCAGGAAAAGCGAAAGGAGCTTTTCCGGTGAGCAGTGGTTTGGTTCATGGGACCGGTGAGACGAAGAAGAGAGGCACTGCAAGGAAAATTGCAAGAAACCCCGGTGGGGAAATCACGCTCAGACGTTTGCCACAAGTTTGCCAAGTCGGAAGGTGCAGCTTCTTTTTCAGATAAGTCAAGCAGTGACTTTGAGATGGAAGCCGGTAAACCACAGCAAAAGAAGGCATCAGGTGCTACAACAACTTCAACAGCAACAGTCCATGCAGCAGCAGATAAGGGTGTACCAACAGGACAATTGACGGCTAAGCCTGGCGAACTGATATCGCTGATGGACGCTGATGCTCCACCTACCCCTCCGCCTTCTCATGGACATTCATTCCCAACTGGAGTAACGGATTCGCCCGCAACTCCTCTCAGCGTCAATACATCCGCATCCTCTTCAGCGACATCCTCATTAACAGCAGGAGGCTTCTCTATTTCGATTTCGGAATCAGAATCTGGTGCAGGTGTTGCAGCAGCACCGGTTCCGTCATCAGGAGATTCATCCTCGTTATTGGATCTCAACGTGGACGTATATGGAGGCATGGATCAGGTGTACCTCAAGGCAGCTGGCATGCGCAGTGACTTCACCATCACGTTTGGCGCTACAGTCAACTACCAACTTCACAAATTCCCCCTCTATTCCAAGGTAGAGGGATCTCCTACCCTTGTCAGAGTGAACCTCGGTAGAGTGTGTGCATCTTTAGCTTGACCGCAAATCTGTTTGAACTTTTTCTTTTCATCATTTCTTTCGTTGAACCTTCATTTTATTTTCTGTGTCATTGTCAGACTGACTATTTCTCCAAGCATGCTGTGGAGGAGGAGAAGAGCAGCTCCAGGCGGAATTCTGGAGACCCAGAGAGCTCCGCCAATGGGAAGCGAGCTCGTCTTGACCTCTCCAACCTCCCAGGCGGAATCGAGACATTCAAACTCGTCGCATGCTTCTGCTACAGCGTTCCCATTACAATCACCCCTGATAACGTCACAGCTCTCTACTGTGCAGCGATTTACCTGGATATGAGAGATGACCCTCGAGCTGCCATGTGCGGTGGTCCCTATGACTGTAACCTGCTTACCCTAGCGTCTCGCCACCTCACCTCGTATCTCTCTCACCCCCGGGCTGCTCTGACTGTTCTTCAATCGTGTGATGCCAGCTCAGCGATCCGGGCGAGTGCTGAGTCAGCAGGGCTGCTGCTGACCACTGTGAACGCGGTCGCACGATTGGTAGTGAAAGAAGCGGGGAAAGGTGACGACGCTTATGACGGTCCTGATGCCGCTGCTGTCAAAACAGATAAGGCAGGCAGGGAAGAGAAGGACAAGGATAAGGTTGCAGATGGAGCTGCAAGTGAAGCGGAGGAAAAGACGGACTCGGCTGGCGCAGGACCGCTGTGGCTGTCACCCCAGTTGCTGCATCTGTCCCTCCCCACGTTCGTCCAGCTGCATGCTGCTCTAAGGTGAGTTGCGCTAAGAGCGGTGGGACACCGGACACCCACACCACTTCTCTCCCCACACCACTTTTGGCTTCTCAATACCCCCACCCATCCAACCTGAGGGTATGATTGTTGCGCATATATGACCTTTGTTAGGGTTAAAGTCTCTTCTTTAACCTCTCTCTTTCCTCCCCGGCCCCTCTTTTGTCGGCTTCCCTCCATTGTTTACTTTGTCAATGCCAATGGCGAACCCGTTCATCAGCGCCATTGGGATGTGTGCGCTGCATCTCAGTGCCCTGCTGCACCTGACGTCTCTGGTTCATCCTCTCTTATTCCGTGCTCCTCTTCTTTTTCTCTCCCCATCCATCCTTCCGATGCTTATCTTTGTTGCTCCCATTCATCAGCTCCCTGGGCATGAGTGCGCTGCATCTCTTTGCTCTGCTTGAGGCCTACTGCAACACGTGGCTGCCATTCCCTGTGGTCAGCTCTTACGATTTCACTGCTGTCAATTTCTGTCAATGGGTTCGTTTGCACTCACACAGTCTGTCCTTATTACTTCGCTTCCCATGGTCGCGTCGACACTTTCAATCACCAGTCAATCATTCCCTAAGGCTTGTTCATCAATGTCTTGTTCATTTATTACTTTGTCTCGCCTGCGTGAAAACACTCTTGGTGATGAAATAACTGCACTACGATTCCTGCTTTTCCAAACTGCCTTTTCCGTCCTTCCATCAATCAGGACGTCCCATCCACGTCCACATCACCTGCAGCCACGTCAGCAGACGCCCAGACTACTTCCACATGGAAGCCAACCCTGGAAGCAGCAGTAGCGCTGCTCTTTGCACTCTCAGCTGGGCCCTCCGCAACAGGGCAGGCTGGAAAAGGGGCTGTGGGGCTGCCGTCCATTCAGCTGCTGGTGCGACTGCTGCGCCTCTGCCCTGAGGTCGATGCCAGCAAGTCTGCCAAGTCGCGCCTGCAAACGTAAGGAGTTGCTTGTTTGTTGAACTTCTGTTGAATTCACGTATGGTCATTGCTTTGTGATCATCAACCGTTGGCCTTTCACCTCCTTGGCACTGCCCTCCTTTGCAGCATGATTGGCTGTCGGATCACCGAGTGTCAAGTCGACCACCTGCTTCCTCTTCCTCCATCTGAGATCCTCGCTCTCCTCACAATCTTCACTTCAAGCACGCCTGATACAAACGCTTCTGCTGCGGCAATCACTCACCCAGCTGGCTCCTCTGCTGCAGCTGTGGAAGGCGCAGGCGCTGCCAGCCTCTCTCAGGCTGCATCTATTGTGGACAGTTACTTGAAGGTGCGACACTACACCTATGTTACCCTTCCAGCTTAAGAGCATGCCTTTTTGCAGCATAAGTATGCTGAATCCATTCCATTGCTGTACCCATACCCTGGCATTCCTACCCCCCCTTTCCCCCCTTACCCCAATTTACTAAATGCCGAAATCACTCTTTCCAGCCATCCCCGTCATCTCTTTCGAGTGCAACTGGCTGCTCCTACTTTTTCAAAACTATGTTCCATTTCGTTACCACCCGTCCCGCTTCAGGCCATCTCCACCTCTCCCAACAGCAGCAGCATCAGCCCCGACTCTTTCATATCCCTTGCAACCGCACTGCCTCTCGCCTGCCGCCCCTTGCACGATGCTCTCTATGAGGCAGTGGCGGCTTACGTAGCAGCCAGGGGGTGGGGGGTGGGGGGGTCTGTGAAAGGAGGGGGGGAAGGAAGTGGAGGAGGGGAGAGAGGAGGCGAGGAGGTTAAACTCCTTGTTGGCCTGATTCAGCCTGAGAAGCTTTCAGGTAACTTCTCATTACAGTGGTTATGTGGTATCCTCGTTTTTGGCCTACCCTCCCTGGAAACTTGCATGTGACTAGTTTTCTACCTTGTCCCATCCCCCATCCCTCATCCCATAACCCATCTTATCCCCCCTTCACCTCCTCATCCCATCCCCATCCCGTCACCCATCTCATCATCCCATGCGCCATCCCACCCCCCCTCCGCCCATCTCGTCGTCCCTTCCTCCATCCCATGTGCCATCCTCGTCGGTCAGAGCCAGTCGCAGATGCTGCCTCATCCACCTCCCTCTGGCCGCCCTCCTTCACTGTAGCAGTGCTGACATGGCAGAAACAGGTAAGCCGCCCAATTTCTGCAACATTCTGATAGGATCCATCTGGCAAAGATGCACATTGTTACAAAGATGCATGTCATTGGCTTCCCTATCAATCCTCTTTCCTACACCCTTACTCCTATGCAAAACCATCATGTCGAATGTCGCGTATATTCCCCCTGGTATTCGCTCTCTCAGCTGCTCGCAAACCATGCACAGCAGCTGATGTCACGAGGCAGGGCGCTGCAGCAGCAGAGGGAGCGGGCAGAGAGGGAGAGGGAGCAGCTGCAGAGAGAGGGGCAACAAATGCAGGCAGAGGTGGAGGAGGAGGAGGGGAAGGCTGTTGCTGTGAGGGCGGATATCAGGCAGGAGACTCACGGGCTTACGCAGGCTTTGGTGCAGGTGAGTGTACCTTTTAACATTTTTTGGCGGCACTTGGTTTTCGTAGTGACTGCTCTCTGTGTTGTGCATGCATGGAGAAACAGAATGTGCTTGATTCTGGCATTTCAGGCTCGGAGCTAGGGTTATGCAGTATGGTTTTACTGGTTAACTGAGCTGGCAACGTGTCTTGTTTATGATTCCATGCAGGTGCGATCAAGCATATCTGATTTGGAACGAGACCTGAGTGTAGCACTTGAATCCAAAGCTCGCCCCAAGGTATGAAGCTGAGACATTGAGACTGCAGCCTGTTTTTTGTACTACGTTCCCATTCTCTAATAATGCTGGCATCGTAACAGGGCAGCAACACCGCCCTGTCATTATCCTCCTTCCCTATGCTCTGGTTTGTGCAGAAGCCAACATCTTTCTTCAGAAAGCTCTTTCAGCGGTCTAGCCGTGCTAATCAGTGCACGTTCTGTCCATTCTGACACTTATGGTGCTAGTCAAGTCAACATCGTTTCATTGTATGTACATAATCTTAGCATTTTAATACACTTATTTCACAAATACCAAAACAGAGGAGCAGCTTCTTGGGGAGGAGCTCGCTCGATGTATCTCCCAAGGCCCAGAAGCCGCATCCTCCTCAACGCACCAAATAACGTAACAATTTTATTTGTCAAAAATGGAGTCGTGACAACCGCCAATATGGCGGCGCTCTCCGGTGGATCCTTGCTCGCCGAGGCTCTGCGCAATATCGCAGCGCTTCTTGTATGTAACTGATATGGCGTTTATAGCAGTTAGAATCTGAGGTAAGTCCCAAGCTGAAACCTTAAACCTTGAAAGGGTTTCATGAAGCAGCCTTCACACACGAGACTGCCGCAGCACGACTCGCGCGCAACGCAATCCGCTCCCGAACGGCCCATTCGAACACGGAATCGACACTCGAGGTCGAGCAACGGTTGGTTGACGCAACGACGCGGCACCGAGTAGAGCAATGCGAGCAGCAATGCGTGCCGACAGATTCGATTCTTGAAGAGTTGCGGGGAATAGTGTTGTTAACGGGAGTTCCAGAAGCGGGGGTTCTAGTGGTGGTGGTCGCGGTTGTAGATCGGGTCGCGCGGTTCCACATCTCGAGTCGCCGATCGCTCCTCGCGCGCCAGTTCAAATCCGCGGGGCTGCCGTTTTCCGCCGTGCGGTAAGAAATGGAGCCGCTGGCATCTCTGCAGAAGACCGGATCAGCCGATGCGCAGCGCGGGATGTGCAACGAGGTGGTGTGGACGGCTGTGATTGGACGCGACGCCGGCGACGATGGGGTCGACGAGGATGTCGCACAGGCGGAAACGGCTCGCAGCCGCTCTGTCGCATGATGGTCGCCAAAGGTTGGATGGCGTTGCTGCCGGCAGATCGACAGTTTCGGTCTGATATCGTGGGAAGAATCGCGTGTAGAAGCCATTTCGTCGAATAATAAATCAGTAGCAGCAGATGACGCGATGATAGTGCGTAAACGGAATGATCTCAGTCCCGATGAAGGTGCTAGGCTGGAGAGTGAATACAGCTTCCAGCTGGATTTCGATGATGTGGGCTGAAGTAGAAAACGGCTGATGGAGATGAAGGAAATGGAAGACCCTTTATTGTGAGTTGAACACACAGCAGCACAATCCGTTCAGCACTGGTAGCTGAAGCGACAGGGGCTCCCAGCCATGGGATGTCGTTGGGGAAGGAGAAATGTGCGGTGGTGGTGGAGAGGCGAGATGTGTGCGGGGAGGCGGGGCGAGGCAAGTTGAGGGAAAATGAGGGCGTGTCCAGCTCGTTCATTTCGGGGTTTTTAGTGCCAACACACGTCTCGAGGCTCAATTTTTTTCACTGTACCAATAAACGAATGCATTGTGAGTTGAGTCCCACCTACCTGTAATTTCAGGAGCGCTGACTCGTTCTCCGCCACACGAATCAACAGTGCTCTGTTCGGGTTCGAAACGAGGTAACGGTTTCCCTCGTCAATCATAGCTAACGAATTTTTGTGCAGGCGGGGGGGGTGTTGGCGAGTATAGCGAGCTACTGGCGAAATTGTACATGGGGCACTACTGTAGTGGCCATGACGCGGTGCTGTACCCTTGTTCGTGTGCCCGCTGATTCCAGTAACGTGAGTCAGACGACTCGAGGTACGTGCAGGGGGCGTGCCGTTTTGTGAACGAAAGCTGATTGTGTCCGCAGGACATGTTCAATACAGTGTTACAACAAAAAATGTGGTAACTGAGCGGGCTGACAAACAGTAAATGTACGAGCTGGACACCCCTGAGGTGCGACGAGGTGAGGGAGGCGAGGTCAGGCAAGGCGAGGAGGGGTGAGGGGAAAGTAGGGAACATAGGAGGGGGGAAAGAGGGAAGTTAGGGGGAAGAGCGGCTTTCACCGCTGAGAGGGTTGGTGGAAGTTTGCGGGAAGTGAGTGCGGGAGAGGGGGCAGTAACGAGTACGCGGACCGCGGTGGGAGAACTTGTGGATGAGGACGAGGAGGAGCGGCGGCGGAGGGATAAGACGAGAACAACACATATGGAAGCTGGCATCGCGACGAATTCGTCTGGTCGTGATTTGGTACGAACCTTGAATGTTCAGATTTCGCGATCATTTGTCCTGCCGAAGCCATAAAACTCGTGGAGGCGGAGAGCGAACAAGCCAATGCACTCAAGATGGGATCGCTGTCAAGCCGTATCCATGTTACGTCTACAGTTCTCATCGAATCTAGCAAAGTGATTGTTCGCAATCATCTTCTTTTTCCGCATTGTCTGAATGCTCCTCCACCAAAGTTTGGCAATGGAAATGGGCAATTTCGCTACTTCAAAACGTATTTCGACATCCTAGATTACCACATTTCTTGGAGATACCAACTTTCAGTGGGAAGCTATGTGTTTCATTATTGAGACAGACCGGACAACAAAGCGCCAAGTTAATGGATACAAAGGATCCAAATCTCCCTTCTCACAGTGGAAATTTATTATCTCGTTTGTTTTGGTCCGAGAAGACAGAAACCAAGTGTGGTTACGGTCTGAACAGAAATAACGACCACGATCACATCCAATCTAACCAACTCGATGAAATTATTCCAGTTGTTGTTTTCACAGCTTGGTGAGAGGATCTGTTCTTGTCAATTCGATATTAGAGCATTCAACGCACACTTCGGATAAAAGTCTATCACTTGGCCTACAGAATTCCACACACATATTCTATATGCAAATTCCAGGTTCAAGACTGCGTCATGTTTTGCATATGGATAGTTGGTGGATGTTAGTATTCATACAGTATATCTCCTGTGGTCGTCCCCAGTTCTACTTGAAAGTTGTAAGTTTGGACCCGTTTTGGATATGAAGATCTGCATCATTTGATATAGACTGACAAATGAAATGACCATATGGGCATCATAGGACCAGAGGGGGTTATCGCCGATGGTAAGTAGACGACACTATAAAGCAGCAGCAGAAGCAGCAACAACAGCAACAGTAAGGCAGGAGGGGCAGGTTGGTGGGGGAGAGGAGAGAGGACAGCACAGCCAACAACAGGAGGTTCAGCAGGGGCAGGGGGAGGCCGGCGAGTGGGTTGAGGAGAGGGGACAGCAGGGGCAGCAGCGGATGGCCAGCAAGGGCAGGGTATGGAGGGGAGGGGATAGGGCGAGGGTGCGGGGGGGTTGGGTTTGGGGAGAGGAGATGGGAGGAGGCAGGTGAGTGGGGGAGAGGATAGAGGGGCAGAGCCGACAAGGAAGGAGGCACAGAGGGACCAGGCACAGCAGCAGCCAGCACAGCAACAAACGCAGGCTGGACACCACAGGCCGCAGAGGGACACCAGCCCGCATTCCGGACCTGAATTGCCGCGATATAGAAAAAACTTGAATGGTGTTGGTAGACGTCTTCCCATTACAAAATCTACAGCAGCAGGGGAATACCGGGCTTAGACGAGTGGCCCCAGTGCAGGAAGGATGTTGCAGCAGCTAGACGAGTACAGGACAAGTTTGCGGGATTGGGCACCGCATATGGAGGGATTACAACTGCCACCACATTTTTATGCATGTGTAGTGGAGACAATTGGGTTGCTCAGCGAGCCAATCAGGTAGCTTTAAGGTTTTGTGCGCGGGCGGATTGCACAGCGGCGTTAAGACTTTTGGTGGGGGGGAGCGACAGGTCAGCACGGATTTTCGAGATCGGGCTCTCACTACAACGACTTTCCGAGGGCACTGGAGCGAGCGGCAGGCTCAGAGTATTATACAGCATGCGGTGCGGGCAGTTGGAGGGTCAGACGATGGGTGGATGCCCGCACGGTCCTTTTGGGTGCGGGGCAGGGCAGTTGGCATCACATTACCGGCTGCTTTGAGAGTGTGGCAGACATGCAGTATGTGTACAATGCATATGTGTAGGCGGTTAGCGATTGTGCTTGAAATGCTGTGTCCCGCGCTGTGGTGCGGGTTGCTGTGGTGTTTTGGTCCTTAGGTCTTTCCTTCCTCTAGTTTCTTCCTCTCTTTCCTTTCCTCTTTCCACCTTTCCTTCAACCCTTCTCTTCTTCTCCGCCTCTTCTCTCCTAATCACGTACGGATGACAGGCCCTCAAATGAGTGCTCAAGGGTCGCCATCAACCTTGATTGTGGCGGCAGGTAGGTCTGTCTCAGACTCTCAGCTCTGTAGAAGTTCTCCATAATTGGTATGCCGAGTCTCTCAGCAGGGTTAATTTTTTGTTCTGAGCAACCCTTATGATCAGTATGGCACTAGTTGAAAAATCTGATTATCAGTGTGAGACCTTGTGGAAAACCTTTTCCATCAGTGTTTTTTGTCACTTATGAAAAATTGACCCTGTGGCATCAGTGTACGAATTTTACCAAACCTTGATGAGTTGTTATTTACAAGGGACACACCAAAAATATTAGTCTTGCATTATCAGACATGCCACAAGGGTCTTGCTCGTCGTCGCTTTCTTCTGCTGGCTCCGGCACTTTCTCTTTCCCCTTCCATTCCACTGGGGTGGCATGAGCCACTAATCTCGCCTTATAGTTTTCTGCTTGCGCCAAATCTGGACACATCTGGCCAGACGTACGAATACTTTCGCATGTGCAGCGTCATCAGGTTGCCAAGGCGTGCATCGCACAGCGACGTGTGCATCCAGCTTTTTATAATGTTCTTGTGACTATATCCTCTCTCACACTCAACTGTGCTCAGTGGCAGCACAGCGAGGGCCTGCCAGAGTGTCATCAGGTTTGGATAGCTGCGGCGCGAATCCCTGCTCTTCAACTCATTTTGCAGACCCTGGTGGAAATCCTCCCCCGCGTGATGACGCGACAAGATGTGACAGAAGCTCCGCAGCTCCTTCTTCGCCGCCTTGAAATCGAATCCTGACGTGGATGTGGTATGGGGTGGTGGATGAAAAGGGACGGTTGGTTTAGCATTACTGTAGTAAACACACATGCAGTTTGCAAGCCGAATCAAACGCGTGTAAGAAATATAATCTCACCTGAGAGCATGCCACCAAACAACTCGTCGTTTGCTGCCTGCCAATCCATGCACTTCAACTCCCTCTGGTCATCCTTGGATGGCTACGACTCGACTTGAAAATGCTTCGCGCCGCCCATCTGCTGCAAGTCGAACATGCGATACTTCATCCTGGCCAGGATCTCCTTAGCGAAACCTGTGCAAAGCTTCACACAGTCAGCAAGCGTGCCCCCATACTTGTGCTTCTTGATAAGTGTCTCGCTCAGCTCGAAACGATGTGTTGTCTGTTGAAATGAACGAACAGGAATGAATGAACTAACAGTGAAAACAGTACAAATACCTAACCCTAGATTTGTGTACCCCCTATAGGCTAACCCACTATAGTCTAAACAAGCACAACAACATATATAATGTTTGACACACCCCCATAGGCGAAGTGGGGGAGAACTAGGGGTCACAAGACCAGTCCAGGCAAAGCAAGGCAAAACAAGTTCAGGGTGGATCTCAAGGATACCACACAAATTCCGAGCACAAGCAAGTGGTCACAAGACCAGTTCACATGCAGGTTTATAATAGAACAAAAGGTACAATGATCAGAACCTAGCAAGAGTGAACATGCAGGTATATATATATAGAGATCACAGTACAAACAGACTCAAGAAGTAAGCAAATGAGGTCCAGTAGGTACAAGGCCTAGAAGAGTGCAAAAGCGCTGATGGTCACAAGGCTGAAGCGCCTTGGTGAACACATCAGCAATGTTGGCCTCAGAGGCCACATAACGTAGACGAAGCTGACTACGCTGCTGTAGCTCTTGAGCAAGAAAGTAGCGCAGAGCAATGTGCTTCGTTCTGTGCTCTAGTCTGTGCTCCTGACACAAGGCAATGGCTGCCTTGTTGTCGACGTACAGCACTGGAGGAGAACGAGGCCGCTCTCCAAGGTCGGTCAGCAAGTAGGTGAGCCAGCGTAGCTCCTGGGCCGCCATGGCTGTGGCGTAGATCTCAGCCTCACAACTAGAGCTGAGAACAGAAGAAGAGCGAGTAGAACGCCAAGAAACTGAACCAGAGCCAAGACTGAAGGTGTAACCCTGAGATGACCGCTGAGTAGCCTGGTCGTCTGCCCAAGAAGCGTCTTAGTGCCCAGTGAGAACAACTGGGACTCGCCCTCCAAGCACTAGCCCCATGCTCGACGTACTGCACAAGTAGCGCAACACCCTCTTAGCTGCATCCATGTGCTCCTTCCGGTGACGGCCGGGAGCGACATAGCGTGCAAGAATGCTAAGAGGGTATGCAAGGTCAGGTCGAGTGCAGGTCATCAGGTACATGAGGCAACCCACAAGCTCTGGATACGGGCCACTCGGCTATACGGACTCATCCGAAGGCAGAGCTGAGAGCGAGTGACCGGTAGGCAGAGGAGTGGGCTGAGGCGAGGATTACGTGAAGCGGAAGCGCTGAAGGACCTGCTGCACCATGTGTGACTGAGTCAAGGTGATGGTGCGGCGTGCTCTGTCCCGGGTGATCCGCAAGTCAAGATAGCTTGTCAGTTCACCCAGGTCTGTGCACGTGTGTCTCTTCTGCAGCTCCGACTTCACGTGGGCGAGTGCCGCAGTGTCAGCAGTGGCAAAGACCAAGTCGTCGACGTACACGAGGATGTAGAACGGCGGTAGTGAGGTGTCGGTGCGTAGAAACAACGACGGGTCAGCAGTAGAAGGCGCGAACCCAAGAGCCGCAAGTGTAGTCCTCAGTGTGTCGTGCCACTCACGTGGCGCCTGGCGGACACCGTAGACTGTTCGTCGGAGGCTCCACTGGGTAGTTGGAGGGAACGACCCACTGAAGCCAGGTGGACGGCACAGCCAGATCTCCTCGTGCAGGCTGCCCTGAAGGAAAGCAGTGCTAAAGTCAAGAGAGTGGAGCTCATAGTCACGCAGAGCGGCGACGTGCAGCAGAACCCGAAGAGTGGTCATCTTCGGGGTCGGGGAGAAGGTCTGGAAGAATTCAACTCCCTCTCGCTGACTGAAGCCTCGTGCAACGTAACGCGCCTTGAAGACAGGCGGAGAGCCCGGCGGCCGCTTCACCCTGAAAATCCACATGCCACTGACGATGTTCGCCCCAGACAGGGGAACCTCGTCGACGTAGGTGCCTGTGGACTTCCAGGAAGCCATCTCTGTGTCCATGGCCGACTACCACTGAGAGGAGTAGGGACCGGCCATCGCCTCTATGTAAGAGCGTGGGGTCGGGATGTCCGGTGCATCCGGGTCTCCCTCAGGGGCAACAAGCATGGACACGAGATGGGGCAAAGCGGCAGCAAATCACTCAAACTCCTCCTGCCTGTCCTTAAGGACGTCAGTGCCAAGAGCACACTCACCCTCGACGGACGGAGGACAGACAGACTCAGACTTAGCAACCAGGCTAGCAGCGTAGTATAGACGACAGGTGGCAGCAAAGTCGACAAGCTCAGCAACTAAGGCAGACGCAGCAGCGGACTCAAAGGAAGGGTCAGTGACAACAGTAGCCAGGAGACGCATGACAGTAGGACTGGCAGCACGAAGGGAGTCTGACCCCGGGTCAGCAAGAGCAGGAAGAGAGGAAGCAGGAGGAGACGGCAGTGGGACACGCTGTGGAGCAGTGGACAGACGAAGCGCCATCCGGTGAGTGCCTGGGACAGCAGGAAGACGCTGACGCGGAACACGACTACCAGTAAGAGCAGCACGGACAGGCGACGCACGCCGAGGCTCAGGCGACGTAGGACAAGACTCAGGCTTACGACGCTCAGTAAGACCTCCAGTCGGACCAGTGTAAGGAGCAGGACCAGGGAGAGAGGAGGCAGACGGTAGCTGCGACGACAGCTGGGCAGACAGAGGACACCCTAAGGAGGGAGGAGGACACGGAGGAGGGAGCAGACCAAGAACCTGCTGAAGGAGCGGAACCAAGTACGGCCGCGGCCGTGCAGCGACACCAGAACTAGCAGAGACACCCGCACCAGGGTCCGCATCACCAGCAGCTGCACCAGCGGCAGGGTCTCCAGCACCAGCAGCAGAACCAACGCCCGGGTCCGCAGCACCGGCAGCAGCTCCAACACCTGGGTCCTCAACACCAGCAGCAGCTCCAACACCTGGGTCCTCAGCACCAGAAGCAGCTCCAATGCCCGGGTCCGCAGCACCAGCAGCAGCTCCAACACCCGGGTCCTCAGCACCAGCAGGAGCACCCACGGCAGCGGGGTCCGCGACATGAGGCGCGCCACTCCGAAGAGTGCAGCGCCGCTCGTACCACTCACGGATCCGCTCACTGGAGGGGAGCTCCCGACTAGGAGGAGAAGCACTAGCACCAGTCCCAGTAGCACGCCTAGCTCCAGAGGTACCTCTCCAGAGGCTACAGTACTGTAAGTACCACTCACGCAGCTGCTCCGAGGAGAGGGCTCCTCCAGGCGTAGGACTCCCAGGCTCAGCACCTCCAGACTCAGAACCCCCAGACTCGGACTCTGCGGCTCAGCACCCCGAAGCTCAGCACCCCCACGCTCAGCACCCCTAGGCTCCGCACCCCCAGGCTCCGCACCCCCAGAGTCCGCACTCCTAGGCTCCGCACCCCAAGCTCAGCACCCCCAGTCCCGGCACCCCCAGGCTCAGTACCCCCAGTAGGACGAGAGTCGACAGCTACCTCAACAGGCTCAACCGGGTCTACCTGAGACACACCTGAGGGAGCGGCACCCTGAGGGGGAGGGGGTCTACAACAGCAGCACCTGGCGCGAGGAAGAGAGGCGGGGGGGGGAGCGGGGCAGTGCGGTAGGGGAAGAGGCGGTAGTAGGGGACGGACTCGTCAAAAGTGACGTCCTGAGAGGGCAAGACTCGGCGCGAGGTGGCGTGGTAAAACTGCCAACCAGGCGCGTCCCGAACAAAGCCGAGGAAGACGCAGGGAACAGCACGGGAGGAGAGCTTGTCCGCAGACGTATCGCGGACAAAAGCTCGAGATCCCCAGGCTCGGAAACGCTACGCATCGCCAACCTCCCCCATCCACAACAGTGTGGGCCAGGTCTCCGGCAAGGAGACACGGGGCCAGAGGTTGAGCTGATGCGCAGCGTACCGGACCGCAAACCGCCACAGAAAGTGGGGGGCAGCCGCATGGAT